CTTAGCATGGATAAAGTCATATCTCTCTGGCAGGACTTGCAGAGTCCTCTTTCGTTCAGGAATTTCCTCGCCTCTTTTGTCTAATTCTGGTGTACCCCAGGGTAGTCACTTAGGTCCATTTCTGTTCATAATTTCAATTAATGATGTTGTTTCGATGCCAACACATAGTGAGGTATTAATATATGCTGATGACATGAAAATTTAAAAAAAAATAAGCTCTACAAATGATGCGTTGTGTCTTCAGAATGATCTTAACCGCTTCTACGGCTGGTGCTCAAGTAACAATCTAAAAATCAATGTAAGCAAATGTGCACAAATTTGCTACTCTAGGCAAAAACGGCCATTTTTTACAAACTATACTTTGAATGGCCAAGCTCTTAGTCGAGTTGATTCAATAATGGACCTGGGTGTTTGCTTCGATAGCAAGTTATCATTTATAAACCACTATAACCATATCATATGCAGATCAAGCTCGATGTTAGGTTTCATTAAACGCTGGTCAAAGGAGTTTAATGATCCTTATGTCTTAAAATCACTCTACACATGCCTGGTCCGTCCTCATCTTAAATATGCTTCACAAGTATGGTCACCCTATTATGATATACACATAATAGGATTGAGTCTATTCAAAAAAATTTTTTGAGATCGTGACGTGACGTCGCGGATTTGTTATTCATTTTTCAGCTTATGAAAACTGACTTAATCTCTCCCGACATTTTAAATAAAATTGTGTTTAATTCCAACCTTAGGTCTCGTTCCCCGAATCTTTTCATGGTTCCTTTTCATAGGACTAATTATGGGAAACATGAACCTGTCAGCAGAATGCTGCGTTTATGCAACAAACGCGACTTTTTTCTATATTCATATTTAATGTATTATATTATTAGAATATTATTACTAATAAGTTTTATTTTGTATAATTTTTAAATTTGATTATTAAGCCAAAAAATTGTTCTGTCTAAAAAATATGTATCTGTATATTCATTTTTTAATTTTAAGTTATGTAAAATGTTTGAGCTAAACATAAATAAATAAATAAATAAATAAATAAATAAATAAAAGGCATTAGATAGGGTTTTGCCTCTAGGGTCCTAGAAAAAGCATTAATGCCTCCCATCCTCCCCTTTCACTCCCTCCCAAGATGCTTTGAGATCGCTTTTTACAAAATGGTAGGAGTAATTTTTATTTACTTTTGGTAGTAAAATATTTAAAATTGTAAAATTGTAAAAAAGTAAAAAAATTGTCTTTTGGAAGTGTGAGTTATAACAGGAAGTGAACATTTCCTCAAGGAAATTGTTAAAGTTAATGTAATCTAGGAAAGTGAACATTTCCTCAAGGAAATTGTTAAAGTTAATGTAATCTACATTGTTTTATAATAAGTATGTAGGTACGCCTTTAGTTATGTATTCTTTTCGCGATCTGCTGCAAAATGGTAAACGAAACATAAATGTACATTAAATTTTTTGATAATATATTTTAGGACGAAATTTAATAAGAAAATTTTATTTTATTGCATTGAATATTTACAAATAGGTTAATTTCAAAAAAATATTTAGGGGCGGAAACTTGCTGATATTTATTTGTAAGGGTAGACCTTTTTTCATTTCTTTTTAAATAAGAACAAATGTTTATCTGACAAATCGCATTTTACAGGGTTTGAACTGGAGACTTTTTGCATAGAAATCGTTTGCTATACCCATTATCCTATATATGTTAGTATTAGTGTTAGCTTATTAAACATTCACGCATTTTATTCGCGTGTATTATAAAATCCAAATACATATGAGCATGGATTTTAGTAGCGAATTATTTTATGCGTAAAGCAGTAATTGATCGATAGTGATAATTTATGCGTAAAATAGTAAACAAAACGAGATTCTAAAATAAATTACTCAAAAGAAATTAGATGTCAAAGGAACTAATTATTTATTTAATAATGTACTTTTTAGCACTTTTCCAAAAAATTTTTGAAAAAAAGTGCTTATTAGTTTCACTCTGTCCGTCCCTCCGTCCGTCCGTCCGTCCGTCCGTCCGACCGTCCGTCCGTCCGTCCGTCCGTCCGTCCGTCCGTCCGTCCGTCCGTCCGTCCGACCGTCCGTCCGTCCGTCCGTCCGTCCGTCCGTCCGTCCGTCCGTCCGTCCGTCCGTCCGTCCGTCCGTCCGTCCGTCCGTCCGTCCGTCCGTCCGTCCGTCCGTCCGTCCGTCCGTCCGTCTGTCCGTGTGTCTGTTTACAAAACTTCTACACCCTTGAAGATAGAAAGCTGAAATTTTGTATGTACCTAGATCTTTACTAGAAACTTATTTCCGTAGAACAAAATTTTTACCTATCTCCCCCCCTCTAGAAGTTATACCCTTCCAAAACCTTAAAAATGGCCTTTTTTAACTATTTGTTGCAATGAAACCATAAGCATTTTTAAAATTTTGCAAACGCATAAAGACAGCGGCTTGCTTCCCCTAGCGCGATATACTATAGTTAAACTTTAGAAAAACAAAATGGCCGTTCAAATTTACCGTTATCTAAAGTCTTTTTTTTCCAAATTTTTGATTTCGTTTTTCTCCTAGACCCCAGCCTGTAGAAGCTTTAAATTTTAGGGGCTTATAGACATTAACAAATAGTTCATTTCGTTAGAAAAAAAATTTTTTTCCATCTCCACCCCCTCTCAAGTTATCGCCTCTTGAAATTTGTAAAATTTGAATTTTTGGCGCCTTATATTTCCAAAATCGCAAACGTTTTCAAATTTCTATAAACATAAAAAGTTAGCGGTAAATTCCGTGACATTAAAAAATATAATTATTTTTCTTAACTAACACAATTATCCCTTAAATCGAGCATTATGTTAACCCCTCTTATATTAATTTTTGCTTAATTTAAGACTGCATGAATGCATCATCCTAAATACATGCAATCCTAGAAATAGTTAAATATGAATGAAAATAATTTTAATAGTGTGATAAGTATGCATAGACTGTATTTAAAAGCAGAATTTTCACTTGATGAAGGGAAAAGTGCTACAATACAAACCATTGGTTTGACCCAACTTTATTTTGTAATTATTTTTAAGGGATTTTCTTATTTTAAGTTTTATCTTATAAAATATAATGAAAAAACATATCTACATATATGTATATTTTTGAAAAAAAAGTAAACTTAAAATATCTCACACACAGAATGAAACACAATTTCAAAACTACAAATATAATTCTTGCAAAGCTGGCAATGGAAGCACACACGACTAGTTTTCATATATTTTGTAATATTCAGTATATTGCTCTTAAAAATTGAAAAGTAAAAATCTCCTATCCAAAAAAACTGAAAAGTAGAATTTAATAAGTTGGAAAGTAAAAAAAATAAAATGTTCACGTTGGCCGATACTGCCGCGAAAAAGTGGTCGGTCGGGGAACTTGCTTTGGTATGTATTGCGGACTTGTGCAACGACAAGGGTCCTGTAGTCAAAGAGAAATGGTACGAGAATGAGGGAGCTGCTGCCATTGTGAAGGGGATATCAGTATTGCGGTAGGCATTTTGACGGGACACTGTTTATTGGGAAGTACGACTAAGAGGCTGGGTATTTCCTCATGAGATAGTTGCCGGCGATGCCATGACATGGGGGTGGTGAAGGACATGCATCGCGCGCTGTGTAAGTGCCTCGCTCAGATGCATCGGCGGGATTAGAGGAACTCTCGTCATTGGGTTATCTGCTAAATTTTCAATGAACTTAGTGGATCCCGATGGGCCTTCAACCCATCAACTAGCAGTACCACGCCAGCTAACTAACTAACAGACACCTCATTTATCTTCCTTTTTAGGGACTGGCTTGCGATCGTTCGCGTTGTGAATCCCTTTTTTTTACGATCCTCGATCTTTTGTTTTCTTGAACATGTTTTTCATCATCCTGAGGCATATTGTGTTGTATACTCTCTGGAAGTTTGGAGGCCAAATATGTTCCAAAGTCATTAATTACCCCAAAATTCATCAAACTTAGTCTTAGAAAACCTCTTACCTTAAGGATATGGCCTGGTAATTTAGATATCTTTTTTAAATTAAGGATATGACCTTGGAACTGATTTCCTTGGCTTTCGGTTTTAGTTGTTTCTGTGACGATGTTTTCTGAGTGGCACATGAATTTTTGTTGGTACGAGTCGATTTACAAGGATGAGGCATTTGTGCAACCCATCTTGCCTGGATCGTCTTGCTGGTTTAACTAGCCAAGACGATCTTCTTACAGCAACAACCTCTCAGACATCGGCACAGAAGCTCACACTACCTTGACATTAGGTTGCAATAGTTAATCGTTGCTCCTAGAAAGGAATCCCGTCGCCACCGCTGGGCGCAGCTGTTACTTGAGAGTGAGAGGACAAAACTGATTTGGCTTAGAAGACTTCGAACTCGTCCTCTCACCCTGAATGAAAGGCGGACCTGAATCAAAAATATAATTATCATGTTCTGATAGAAAGCTTGTTGACTGCAAATTGGTACATAGCGACGTGAAAGGTTTATTATACCTACGCTCATTTGGGAGGAAATCTGGCAAGAATTCAGAAGTTAATTGCTGCCTGACTGTCGGACATTATTGCTATATTGCACTCGCAGTACCCATTATCCAGGTTAAATTGTGGGCATCTTTCTACAGCGTGTATTGCCGCCTAAAAGATACTTAGGTACTTCTCCATGGGTTTGAAATGTTTGGAGAGGGCGGTTCCGTTCTTTGACCTAATGACAGCTTCCCTGTTTCCAGACTATCCACCCAACCGTAGGACCTTCTTTATTAATACATAGTAGTCCGTATTTTTTTAGCACTTTTACAAAAAAAAAAAAATTGAAAAAAAAAGTGCTTATTAATTTCAATCTTACCCATCTCCCACTTATTGTTTTGACGAAATTTATTTTTTTGACGAAAAAGACATTTAATTTTTAAGAACACGGTTCTGGAATATATGTAAAATTTTCTTTGTTTATGGTGCTTTCATATTATATAATATAACGATTTATCAATTTTGCAGCTCACAAATGTGGGGATAAATGTAAATTCCATTTCATTTAGCACATTGACCATGGAATCAGATAAATTTATATGTGTTCGAGAAAAAGTAGGCGAAACAGCTCAGGTTGTAATTATTGATATGAACGATTCAAATAACCCTATTCGAAGACCAATATCAGCAGATTCAGCAATAATGAACCCGGCAAGCAAGGTCATTGCTTTGAAAGGTAAGAAATATATACGTATTTTTTATAGCAAAACCAAAAAAATTATTTTAATCAATTTTTAGCGGCAAAAACTTTGCAAATCTTCAACATTGAGATGAAGTCTAAAATGAAAGCTCATACAATGACTGAAGAGGTTGTATTCTGGAAATGGATTTCGCTTAACACTTTAGCATTGGTTACGGACACATCTGTGTTCCATTGGTCAATGGAAGGTGATTCTACCCCCATCAAAATGTTTGATAGGCATTCGTCATTGAATGGGTGTCAGATAATCAATTATCGATGCGATCAAAAGCAACAGTGGTTATTACTTGTCGGTATAACCGCTTTACAAAATCGAGTCGCAGGGGCCATGCAATTGTATTCGGTGGAGAGAAAAGTTTCACAAGCCATTGACGGTATGTTTTTATCAGTTTCAGAACGTAGTTTCTATAAATATTTGATTAAAGAATTTTTTTCCTATTTTCACATAAGAAATTCCTTTTCAATTAATTTTCTTTTTTTTAATCTAGAGTTTTTAGTGTTGTTTTTAGTTTTATGATTACCAGCTGAATGATTTTTAAACTACTTTAATATTTTGTGTTAGGTGACAGTCTTTAGAATTTTAGTTTCATTTGTTTTTGGTTATCATATAAACTAATATTGAGTACACCTATGCTGAAACTATCTGATTTGTCTTCATCTCTCTTGTTGATTTTCTAGAGTCTCATATATAATTTTTCATATTCTTTGAGTCATTTCGTTTAAAGTCGTAAAAAATTGGTTCTAGAAACGACTTTTAATATCTTATATACTGTGTAGATTATCTGAATTAGTTATTTTATAATACGCAAAACACCACTATGTTGTCAAATTGTACAAATTGTTGATCATTAATCATATCTCTACCTTGTTGGTAGAGAGCGCAGAAAACCTGTTACGGATTTTTAAAGGCGCTTGTATCAGTTTTAGTGTAACACATAACAAAAAATTTTACACATACATACATTTTAAAAAAATCTGATGTGGTAAGCACCTAAGCGACCGCAATATATATTGTCTAGATTAGTAAAATTATTCCAGAAGATTATGGAAATGTGCTTTAAACACTTCTTTATAATTTTAAGGATGCTTTTAGTTAAGACACCTAGAAAAATGTGAATTTGGCTTTTAGTACTCGTTTTGTTCTGTCCTAATTATACGAAAAATTCGTCAGTAACGTCTGGTAAGAATAAGAAATTCCATCAATCCGTTCCGTTGATATGGTAAAAAATGTGAAATCGGCCTCCAGATCTGTTTCGGAGCCCTGACCTTTTTAAAAAACTTTATAGATTCAATGTTTTATCACCTGGGATTTAAATATTAAATTTCAATGAAATCAGTTGACTATTTCTCTTTATATACGCAAAAATGTATATTTGGCCCGTAGTAAAGGTCCAGTTGCCGACACCTAATTTCTTCCAAAAGCAAGGAGGTTTCGCGTACGGTCGAATGAAGGTTATATATAAAATTTCAAGTAAATCTGTTGAATATTTTCTTTAAAATTATCAAAAATGTAGAATAGCCCCACAAAAAAGTCCAGTTCCCAAGTTTATATAGTTCCCCAAGTGCTTTGGTTTATTTACACTTCCCTACCATAGAGAAGTGCGTTCTCATAGAAAACTGGACATGCAAAATTTGTCATCAAATAACCTCCATTATTATATGCAATAAGGGAAATTATGTTAAATTAACGTGTGTAAAAATTATATTCAATACTATGCAGCTTTATACACATTACATTATACATATTATAAATATTAACTAATTGCCATATTTCAATAACATCCAACATTAAAATTCATTTTTTCAAAAAAAAAAAAATAATTCAAAGACTTACTTGTTTTTTAACTTTATGGAAATTTCTTCATGCAACTGCAGAACAGATGGATGACGTAATCAAAGAAAGGAGTTAATGGCAGAAATTTTTTTTTTTTTTTTTTTTTTTACCGAGAGGAAGGGTGAAAAATCTCGAAAGACACTGCCAGACGAAAAGCAGTAGTGTGAAACTTTAATCCACTAAAAAACACCCTCCTCAAAATAAACTATAAAACTAGTCGGAACGACTAACCATTAATTTTGCTCTAACTTTTTTGATTATTTACAAGCTTTTGATCTGGCACAATAGTGTACTAAGTACTCATTGTTCCAGATAAAAAACTTTAAACTAACTCGAGAGGTCTCGTACGTTTAAGTCTCCTAACAAAGTTTTGATTACCAAACAATCGAGCCGCCTCGATGTTGACATGGTTGGATAAACGCATTTTATGATTGGCTGCTTGCTTTTTAATTTCGTCTGTGACACTTAGGATCGTGAGATCCCTCTGTATATCGGCATTACGGACATACCAAGGTGCTTTTCCAATGTCCCGTAATACCCTATTTTGAAATCTTTATATAGATTGGATATGAGCCTGCACAGCGCAGCCCCATAACTGAATACCGTAAGCCCAGACAGGCTTAAATATTTGATTATATGTCAAAACTTTGTTGTATATTGTCAATTTAAAACGCCTCCCCAAAAGCCATTCAAACTTTCTGTATTCCTCCTCTAGTTGAGATCTCTTTTTCTTTAGACGCCATTTATTTTCTTTAGACGCCATTTATTTGAACCGAAAATGAATTGTCAATTTTCCTATTAGTGAAATTCACATGTACTGATTTCACCTTGTTAAGTTTAATATTCCACTTTCTAGTCCATTTTTAGATCTCATCACTGGCCCTTTGCAATTTTTGTGTAGAATCATTTTCATTTCGTCCAATTGCGATAACTGCTGTATCATCAGCAAATGTAGCTGTTGTCACTTCTTCCGATTCAGGAATATCACACGTGTATAGCAAGAATAATATCGGGCCCAATGTACTCCCCTGTGGTACCCCCGACTTGATATCCCTAAGCGAAGAGTACTCCTCTTCCTGTTTAACTCGAAATACCCTATTAGTTAGGTAAGATTCGAGCAGGTCAACATACTGCCTTGGTAGTAATCGCCTAAGTTTTTTTATTAATCCACAATGCCAAACCTTATCGAAGGCCTGGGCTACGTCCAAAAATATGATAGAACATACTGCTTTTTCTTCCAGTGAATTTTCTATTAGGTCAGTTATTTTATGAATCTGATCTATGGTTGGATGGTTGCGGCGAAAACCAAATTGATGATTCGGGATTAACCTTTTACTTTCAATTATAGGCTGGAGTCTTCTCAATAAAAGTTTCTCTAGTAGTTTTGAAACAAACAAATACTTAGTAATCATGTGGATTACAGTATAAAGCAATGTAGAGAACATTTCGTCGGCAATTTCTTCATGCCTCTGTAGCTCAGTTGGTAGAGCGTCCGCCTAGAAAACGGTAGGTCACTGGTTCGAGTCCAGTTCGACGAGAAAAATTTTTTAATTAATTTTTCTGCCCTTAACTCGTTCCTTTGATTACGTCATCCATCTGTTCTGCAGTTGCATGAAGAAATTTTCATTAAGTTAAATTATTAGTGAAATATGCACTTTTATTAATTTCACAACTATGATGTTGTATTAGTAAAATTCATAATATACTAACTTGTTTATTTAAATTTTAAAAAAATTCAAAACTTAAAATTTAAAACTTTTTGAAACATTGAGCAACACTCAAAGAAATAAACTTTGCGGTTATATTCCTGCCGAATCAGATTTTTTTTACTTTTGTCTGTTTTTAACCCTTTATGCAATATAGTTTTGAGTTTATTCTGATGTATAATACATTAATATACATTTTTTTGTTGTGTATTTAAATTTGGATATGAAGACCAATCAACACGTGCTCAAAATTTACAAGCACCGTTATTGATTATTTCTATATACATATATTGTTTTTTAATCTAATAATATACATATGTATATAAACAAATATCATAACATAAAATACTTTACACAAAAATCAGATTCTTAAAAAAAACAATTTTTTTAATTTTTTAAATTTAATAAAGTTGGGTCAAACCAATGGTTTGTATTGTAGCACTTTTCCCTTAAACAAGTGAAAATACTGCTTTTAAATACAGTCTATGTATACCAAAATCAGACTTTTAAAATTATTTTCATTCATATACAAAACTATTTCTAGGATTGCATATATTTAGGATGAACGATTTATGCAATCTTGGAAATAAAACAAAATTTTATATAAAGAGGGGTTAACATAATGCTCGAAGTTAAGGTTTAATTGTCTGAGTTAAGAAAAATAATTATATTTTTTAATGTTATGGAGCTTGCCGTTAACTTTTTGCGTTTATAGAAATTCGAAAAAATTTGCGGTTTCGGAAATATAGGGTGTCAAAAATTCAAATTTTACAAATTTCAAGGGGCGATAACTTGAGAGGGGGTAGAGATGGAAAAAAATTTTCTTCTAACAAAATGAACTATTTATTAATGTCTAAAAGCTTCTAAAATTTCAAGCTTCTACAGCCAGAGGTCTAGAAGAAAACCGACATCAAAAATTTGAAAAAAAACGACTTTAGATAACGGTAAATTTGGACGGCCATTTTGTTTTTCTAAAGTTTAATTATAGTATACCGTGCTAGAGGAAGCAAATTGCTACCTTTCTGCGTTTGCAAAATTTCAAAAATGCTTATGGTTTCATTGCAACAAATAGTTAAAAAAGGCCATTTTTAGTGTTTTGGGGGGGAATAACTTCTAGAGGGGGGGAGATAGGTAAAAATTTTGTTCTACGAAAATAAGTTTCTAGTAAAGATCTATGTACGTATAAAATTTCAGCTTTCTATCTTCAAGGGTGTAGAAGTTTTGTAAACAGACACACGGACAGACGGACGGACGGACAGAGTGAAACTAATAAGCACTTTTTTTCAAAAATTTTTTGGAAGAAAAAAGATTGTTAAAATTTGTTTTGATAATTTCATTATTTTTTTATTCTCTTTATTTAAATTTTATTTCATCTTTCTTTCTATTCCGTCTTTAACCATAAATCGTATAACAACAATCGTATAACAACAATTATTGTACATGTTTCATTTATGCGCAGTAGATGTCGCTAGTAAAATGGGAAACATATATACTGTTTCTTTACTCTCGAAAAATTTTACACTAGATTCTTGTGTCTTTGCTATTAGTAAAGATCAACACTGATGTTCATTACTAGATACAAAAAAAAATTTTGGATTCGCTGACATTGTTCTCGAGTGCCGAAGTACTGTAGGAAACCCAACTTTTAGGGTTCAGTCGCCAAGAGAGTTGTCTTGAAATAAAAGCGAAGACAGACAATAATAAACTTATCCTTTGAACTGATGTGAAGGTTTAAAAAATAATGTTACGGCCAACGTCAAGAGAAGATCATAAAAATCACTAGATAAAAATTTGAGATTATTATAATATGTCAATTTTCTAGTCTATGAATCTCAAGAGATCAGAAAAAAGGTTGTTAAACAGAAGAAACAATACAATACAGTACATTTAATGAATCAAAACGACAGGCCGCTTCAAAATTTACTGAAGTGTTCAAAACAAAAACTACATTGCTCATCACCTACAACTGCGGAATCAAACATTTCAACATAGAGTAGCAAAAACGTAGACCGAAGATAAATAATTGAGACAAGTAAATTTATCACTAGCAAAAGCGACCCAATTAAATACGGGGAATCTGAGGTGACTTTCTAAATGGCGCAAAAAATTCTGAAATGGCAGGTATGTTAAGATAGCAGAATTAAATACCGCCGGGAAGCCAGAGGTCGATTGTGACTGAGGTGCACAAACAGAAAAAGATAATTATATCCAATGGAAGAAGATAATTACAGATCCATAAAATCAATCCTACACAAAAGCCCACGATCACCAGTCCTCTGGAGTCTTAACAATAGGAACATATGTAATGGACTTCAAATATTCAGTCAATGATGTTAATCAAATCAGAACCATCAAGAGAAGATTTGTTTGAAAGTAAACCAAAGAAGAGACCTTTAATTTTTGAACTCAGCTGGGAGTTTTAAAAAGATTTCTCAAAGTTTCAAAATTTTTTAGTCATTTTATTGAACTCAATTTTAGTAACACAGTTAATAACTTTTTTCTACAATCCAGATTAAATCAATAGGTTTCCATCTTTTGAAATAAAAGCAAAACAATTTTATATATATATCGGGTGCATTAATGGTTCATATTTTATAAGTTTTTTCATAGATACGATATATGTATGTTTATTCCATTTTCCCAATTTTTTTCAACTTCAATAATTCGAGAGAATAGAAGATCCAAAATATTGTAACTTCTAAAACACGGTAAAAGCGTAAAATAAAATGAACAATGTATAGCATTTCGTACATATAAAGATTTTGACTTTGCACACTATTTAAAATTGTATAGAAAAGAGAAGTAATTGAGGCTACTTTTCATGTGCATGTCATAAACAAACATTTGCGCCATGCATCTGGAAAAGTATTTCTTAGCCAAACAATTCAATAAAGGTAAGTGATATAAGTCACTAATATGAAGATCATCATCGATGTACAAATAAAAAAAAAAGTTTTAAGTTGTGGAGAAGAAATAAATGAATCTACTTTACATACAGTATTAATCTAGTATATACTACATTATAATTCATATTGTAGAATAAAAAATTTATACAATGTAGGTAACAAGATCCAAGTTGCTAAAAATAGGTTTAAACTACGCAGTAAGAAAGCAAACAGCATAGTAAGAAATGGAAGACAAATTTTTGACTACATATCAAAATAGTACTTTTAAAGTTATTCAATTAAAAACTCTGAGCAGGCTAAACAAACTGGTTTAGTACTTTCTTGCCAGATTTTATATTTCAATAACTAGTCAGTATGTGTTATTTGGTAACAAAATTTGTTTATTTGACATTCATTGATATTCAATTGCTGATATAGTGATTCAAGTATTTAAACTACTTTTCACTCTTTTTACAGTGCCGGCGTTTCTAAAGTTTTGCTACGATATTAATTTTGGAGTTAAACGGTGAAAAAAAAATTTTTCACTGCATATTTTACGATTTTGCAAACGCAAAATGTTACTACTTTAGCTAAAATTAGATTTTAATTTTTTATTATTCATTCAATAATTTTTCCCTTTCGATGATATTTCATATCATTATTGACCGTGAGCATTGAAATGCCTTATTATTATAAAGACAATTTTATTTATTGTATAAATTTTCCATATTTGACTAGCTGAAATTACTTGTTGGGCTTACGTAAATATTACAAATTATGAATTTGGTTAGATAAGTATAAACCAACTACAGCTGCCTGTAAATGGGTTTGTAAATGAACTTCATTTGCATCAAATTTATCATTAAATAGGATTGCGACTACTAGGGAAAAAGAAGGGCGGATTATGAATCATTTTCAAAATTTGGTTGAGCTACCCCAACTAAAGTATTTTAAGCTTATATAGTTATATTTAATTAAGAATTGCGATTTATAAACGGGTATAAAAGGTTTGAATCTATATTATATTTTACAAGATTTTTCCAGTTCATGAACAGGTATACATATAATCTAATAAATAACAAAAACAAAAAAATGAAAATAGCAAAAGAGAATACTGGGTAGAAACATTACTCAATTGATTATACATACTGTAAAACAAAAACAAAAAATGAAAAGCGAAAAGCGAAAGAGAATAAAAAAAGAGTAGTAATATTTTTTTTGTTTTTTTGGTTTACTACCATAAACAAAAATAAAAAGCAAAAGGAAGCGAAATATTTTAAATGAGTTAAGTAAGAGTAAAATAATTTTTTGTTGTTGTATTTAACATGGAATGGAATTAAAAAAAATAAAACTAAAAATTGTGAGAGATATAAGAACACGAATAACGTTACGTTACATACTAAGGCAATTATTCTTCGTGTGCTTGCGAAATTTCAATTGAGTAAGTAGCCAAGCCAGGTCTGTATAAAGAAAAGAGGCATTGATTTTTTATTAATTCACATTCACTTTGGTTTTAAAGTTTAGCGTGAAAGGTACTATTTCCTTTCCTTTTAATTTTGTTCGACATCAGTTCCCCATCCGTCTTGCATATGCCATGACTATAAATAAGTCCCAAGGGCAAACTTTTGAAAAGGTTGGCCTCTATCTCCCCCAGCCGTGCTTTTCGCATGGGCGATTATACACAGTATGTTCAAGAGCCATAGACTCCAATTCTTTAAAAATTCAAGTCAAAGATACGGTTCGTCAGGGAAAAATCGATGATGGAAATATTTTAACAGATAACGTTGTTTATAAGGAAATTTTTCGTCCTTAATTGTTAACTAATTCTTAAATTGAATTTTAATCATATCTATGTAATTAACAGTGACACATATTACATCTTAAAATTTATTAAATTAAAAATATTTCCATTACTTTTATTTATCATTAGTATTCAAACCAATATGATATTTATGCATATACAAGTATATACCTGCATATGTATGCCATAATATTATGTACAAATTTTACTAAACTTATTTTAAAATTGATTGCCACAATCCTGTTTTTACAACAGATAATGCTGCTTATAAGCAAACCACAGGGGCCCCTAGTTTCTCAATAGTTTTATCAATGTGCGTCTAAATAAAGGAAATTTCCTTTCCAAATTAAAACCCAAATATCTTATAGAGTCAGATCACTCTATATTTGTGCTTCCAGCAATTAGGTTACTACTGGAAATTAATGAAATTTTTCTATTTATTATAAAATATATCTATGTTTTTATAGGGTTAATGTTAATTTTCCACTTATGATAATATGGGCTTATAACGTCAAATGCACTTTCTAAACCAATGATAATAAGATCTCTTTAACTAGATAGTATAGCGGTATCATCAGCATATGCTACTTTGTAGTCAGTTAATCTCGAAAAATCAGAGATGTAAACGTTGTACAGCAGTGGTGAAAGTACGGAGCCCAGAGGCGTATCACCAGTTATATTGAACAACTCTGATTTTGAGTCACTAGTTTTTTATGGCAAGAAAAATTTTTTTCCATCTGCATCGCCTCACAAGTTGTCCCTGATCATAATTCGTAAATTTGTATTTTCGGCACCTTATATTTACGAAACTGCCTATTTTAATTTTTTTTATAATTTATATTATAAAAAAAATTATTTTATTTAAGTGAAAATAATTATTTGAGTGAAAATAAATTAATGCGTATCTAATAGAACAGTATTTTTACTTGTTCAAAGGAAGAATATTATTTCACGAGCTCAAGTTTGTTTTCATATTTTAAAGATATATTTTTAATGTTTGTTTTTATTGTTTCAATTCTTTTTATGTTTGTTTCATTTTCAAAAGAAAAAAGCACTTTTCAATTTTCAGTTTTTGAAAATTTTTTTTTCGGTGTACGTAGCGACATCTAACTAAAAAGTTTTTTTGATTCTTCATCTCTATCAGTATCTTCGTTGTAATTAATTTATCTCTGACAAAATCATTGAAAATTTCTTAAAGCTTGCTAATCATTTTTGAAATTGTTATATTAGTGTTATTATTCAACATTGTTTATATATAGAGCAATTTTTCATTTACTTTTCTTCTGTAAATCGTAGGTCATGCAGCTTCATTTGCGCAATTTAAGATGGAAGCTAATAAAGAATTATCCACCTTATTTTGTTTTGCTGTTCGAGCGCCGCAAGGAGGTAAACTTCATGTCATTGAAGTAGGTACTCCACCTGCTGGAAATCAACCTTTTACCAAAAAAGCTGTAGATGTGTTTTTCCCTCCCGAAGCTCAAAGCGATTTTCCAGTTGCAATGCAAGTTTCGGCCAAATACGATGTCATTTACTTAATAACCAAATACGGGTACATACACCTTTACGATATTGAAACAGGAACTTGTATTTATATGAACAGAATATCTGCCGAAACAATTTTCGTTACCGCTCCCCATGAGTCTAGCGGCGGTATAATAGGCGTCAATCGTAAGGGTCAAGTTTTATCTGTAACTGTTGACGAGGAACAAATAATACCTTACATCAATACTACATTACAAAACTCAGATTTAGCATTGCGGATGGCAGTGAGAAACAATTTATCCGGTGCTGAAGATTTATTTGTCCGTAAATTTAATCAATTGTTTCAAAATGCTCAATATGCTGAGGCAGCAAAGGTTGCCGCCTTGGCTCCCAAGGGTATTTTACGCACACCAGCAACTATCACTCGTTTTCAGCAAGTTCAAGCTCCGCCCGGTTCTACTACACCACCTTTATTGCAATACTTTGGTATTTTACTTGATCAAGGAAAACTTAATAAATATGAATCATTAGAATTATGTCGTCCAGTTCTAATACAAGGAAAAAAACAATTATGTGAGAAGTGGTTAAAAGAGGAAAAACTTGAATGTAGTGAAGAGTTAGGAGATCTTGTAAAAGGATCTGACTTAACGTTAGCACTGTCAATTTATTTACGGGCTAATGTTCCAAATAAAGTTATACAGTGTTTCGCGGAAACTGGCCAATTCCAAAAAATTGTTTTGTATGCGAAAAAGGTGAATTATAATCCTGATTATATCTTTTTATTACGGTCAGTAATGCGAACGAATTCTGAACAAGGTGTTAGCTTTGCTTCAATGCTTGTTGCTGATGAAGAACCCTTAGGCGATATAAACCAAATAGTTGATATTTTTATGGAGCAAAATATGGTTCAACAATGTACGGCATTTCTATTAGACGCTTTAAAACATAATAGACCTAATGAAGGTTCTTTACAAACAAGATTATTAGAGATGAATCTAATTTCAGCACCACAAGTTGCAGATGCTATTTTAGGTAACGCGATGTTCACTCATTACGATCGTGCACATATTGCGCAACTCTGTGAAAAAGCCGGACTTTTGCAAAGAGCTTTAGAACATTACACTGATTTATATGATATTAAGAGGGCGGTTGTTCATACACACTTGTTAAATGCAGATTGGTTGGTCTCATTTTTTGGAACTTTATCTGTTGAAGATTCTTTGGAATGTATGAAAGCAATGCTTTCAGCAAATATACGACAAAATTTGCAAATTTGCGTTCAAATTGCGACTAAATATCACGAGCAGTTAACAACTAAGTCTTTAATTGATTTATTTGAGAGTTTTAAGAGCTATGAAGGATTATTTTATTTTCTGGGATCAATCGTAAACTTTAGCCAAGATAACGAAGTTCATTTTAAATATATTCAAGCTGCTTGTAAAACTAATCAAATAAAGGAGGTGGAGAGAATTTGTCGAGAATCCAATTGCTATAATCCTGAACGCGTGAAAAATTTTCTTAAAGAAGCGAAATTAACAGACCAGCTCCCATTAATTATAGTTTGTGATCGTTTTGATTTTGTACATGATTTAGTGTTGTACCTTTACCGTAATAATTTACAGAAATATATAGAAATTTATGTTCAAAAAGTTAATCCTTCACGTTTACCTGTGGTGGTTGGTGGTCTCTTAGACGTAGACTGTTCTGAAGATATAATAAAAAATCTGATTTTGGTTGTAAAGGGACAGTTTTCAACAGACGAATTAGTTGAAGAAGTAGAGAAAAGAAATCGTCTAAAATTACTTCTTCCATGGCTGGAATCCCGCGTGCATGAGGGCTGTATTGAACCAGCTACACACAACGCTTTAGCAAAAATTTATATTGATTCTAATAACAATCCTGAAAGATTTTTAAAAGAAAATTCATATTACGACAGTCGAGTCGTTGGTAGATACTGTGAGAAAAGAGATCCCCACTTAGCATGTGTTGCGTATGAACGTGGTCAGTGCGATAGAGAATTAATTGCTGTTTGTAACGAAAACTCATTATTCAAAAGTGAAGCACGATATTTAGTTCGTCGTCGTGATCCGGAACTTTGGACAGAAGTCTTATCAGAATCAAATCCGTATAAAAGACAATTAATAGATCAAGTTGTACAAACAGCATTATCTGAAACACAAGATCCCGAAGATATTTCCGTTACTGTGAAAGCTTTTATGACCGCAGATTTACCTAACGAATTAATAGAGTTGTTAGAAAAAATTGTCTTGGATTCCAGTGTTTTTTCAGATCACAGAAATTTGCAAAATTTACTAATTTTAACCGCTATTAAGGCTGATCGTACAAGAGTTATGGATTATATAAATCGTTTAGACAATTACGATGCTCCAGATATTGCAAATATTGCTATATCAAACCAACTCTTTGAAGAAGCTTTTGCAATATTTAAGAAATTTGATGTTAACACGTCTGCCATTCAAGTTTTAATTGATCAGGTAATGCATTTACAATATATATTTATAGATATGTCTTGAATTTAAAGTTTAATTTGGTAAGATAGGTAAACAATTTGGAACGTGCGAATGAGTTTGCAGAAAGATGTAATGAGCCTGCTGTTTGGTCACAGCTAGCAAAAGCACAATTGCAACAAGGATTAGTTAAAGAAGCTATTGACAGTTATATAAAAGCTGATGATCCAATCGCATATATAAATGTGGTCGAAACAGCTTCCAAAAGTGAATCTTGGGAAGATTTAGTACGTTATCTGCAGATGGCAAGAAGAAAAGCAAGGGAAAGCTATATTGAAAGTGAATTAATTTATGCTTACGCTAGAACAGGCCGATTAGCAGATCTTGAAGAATTTATATCAGGACCAAACCATGCTGACATACAAAAGATTGGAGATCGTTGTTTTTCAGATGGCATGTATGACGCTGCCAAATTACTTTACAATAATGTAAGTAACTTTGCCAGATTAGCACTTACATTGGTTCATTTGAAAGAGTTTCAAGGAGCAGTTGATAGTGCTCGTAAAGCTAACTCAACCCGAACGTGGAAAGAAGTTTGCTTCGCATGTGTTGACGCAGAGGAGTTTCGCTTAGCTCAAATGTGCGGCTTACACATAGTTGTTCATGCTGACGAATTGGAAGATTTAATAAATTATTATCAAGATCGTGGTTATTTCGAAGAACTCATATCTTTGCTTGAATCTGCGCTAGGTCTAGAAAGAGCTCACATGGGAATGTTTACCGAATTGGCAATATTATATTCAAAATACAAAACTTCGAAAATGAGAGAGCATTTGGAACTTTTTTGGTCAAGAGTTAATATTCCAAAAGTATTACGAGCGGCCGAATCCGCTCATTTATGGTCCGAACTTGTTTTTTTGTACGATAAATATGAAGAATTTGATAATGCTGTACTAGCTATGATGACACATCCAACAGAAGCTTGGCGTGAAGGACATTTCAAGGACATAATAACGAAAGTCGCAAATATTGAATTATATTATAAAGCAATACAATTTTATTTAGACTATAAACCGCTACTTTTAAACGACATGTTATTGGTTTTGGCTCCCAGAATGGATCATACACGTGCTGTTAGTTTCTTTTCCAAAACGGATCATTTGCAATTGGTTAAAACTTATTTAAGATCGGTACAAAATTTAAATAATAAAGCTATTAATGAAGCTTTAAACGGTCTTCTAATTGAAGAGGAAGATTATCAGGGACTTAGAAATTCTATAGATGGTTTTGACAACTTTGATAACATAGCGTTAGCTCAAAAATTGGAAAAACATGAATTAACAGAGTTCAGAAGAATAGCTGCTTATTTATATAAAGGTAAAATTGGCTTTTTACATGGAATGTACATGCTGTTTCTGAATTGTTTTTATTTACTGTTATGCAGTGATTTCATGGAATATATTAAGATGTTTTAAACACATTTTTTTATAAGTAATTTAATACTTAGTTCCATATACAGAATATTTTAATTTACAATCCAATTTTAAAAAATGAAATTTTCAGATTTGTCCTGGACTTTGTGTCAAATTATACTAAATTTTAATTATTCATATTGAGGTTTAAGTTAAAGTAATTGGAATCCTACATGAATTTACGAAATCAAACTGAAAATGAAATATTTTCAGTTCAAAATATTTTCTGCGAATTTATTTAAATCACTATACTTACTTAATTTAATCATAAAATAATTAATTTAATTCAATTAAAATACTTACTTAATACTTATTTTCAATCGAAAGCGAAATAAGCTTTGCGTATACTGTTTTGGGTGCATATACTTAAATGCGCAGCTTTTGTTTTGGAAAAACTATTAAATTGACTTTTAAAAATAAAAAAAGTTCTCTTATAGTGTTTTGATCTTAAAAGCAACACATAATAAAAGCGATACAAATTCAGATTCAGCCAAAGTGAATATATGAATTTTAATCAAAATCTAATATTAAGGTAATAATCGTTGGAAACAAAGTGTTGAGCTATGTAAAAAAGACAGGCTTTTTAGAGATGCTATGGAATATGCTGCAGAGTCAGGGAGACAGGAAATAGCTGAAGAATTGTTGAGCTGGTTTCTTGAGCGTGGTGCATTTGATTGTTTTGCAGCATGCTTGTATCAGGTAAGATAAAATAATAATTGAAATGTAAATACATAGATGCAAATATCCACATACAAAAAGTAAATATAATATTTAGAAACATACACATATACAAAATTGAAAAAAAAAAATTTGGTAAATTGAAAAATTACAAAATTGATAAATAATTAATTTGTTCTTCAACTAACTCAACGTTCAACAATTAAAATATTTCTGTTCGATGATGAGGGCTTTTTGAAAATTATGTACAGTTTAAATTTTACATATTAAGAGTATATTTTGCTAAAAATATCCAAGGTAAATCTGAAATTTGTACTTATACAGATTTAGACTTAAGGAATGGAAAATATCATTGTCAAGAAGGCGCGATATGGCATCAAATAATCGGGAATCAGAAATAAATAAGCAATAATTATTTATGGGGGTATAACTTTTTGATTCAAGATTATTAGGAAAGAGTTTGATGGATGGGGATAAAATCAATGCTGAGCACACAAAAATGAGGGCAATGAAGATGCAAGTAATTATTCCAATTTGAGGACATCTAAAACGACTTTGCGAAAATTCATCCTGTAATGGATTAAAATTTTCGAAAGTCTTGACCTAAGAGTGAGCATCATCATTTACGTTAGACAACATAGATAAGCCACATAAAAACTAATTTGTTTTAGTTTTTTTTTTTGAAAATATATAGATGCACATAAAATACAAATTAATACTAAAAATATTAAAGCAGCCAATGACAAGTACTTATAAAATTAAAAATTTCGAAATTTGAATTAATCAAACTAACAACTGGAATAAATATCTACATACATAAATTGAAATTTTTAACTTAAATGAAAACGATTTTAAAATCAGTTTTTTAGAAGCATTTTAAGTAATTGTAGATTTTTTTTTAAATTAAATTTAAACAATTAAATATTTTCAGTGTGTTGTTAAGTTACGTCTTAATAAAAGAATTATTAATGCTACATATTATGAAGATAATCGTAAGTCCGGAATTCACAAAATCGCGATAATTAATGCCTTTTAAATGCAATAGAATTATTTCTAGATTATAGACCATAATCTGCTAGAATAAACCTCTCCATTAAAACGCGAAATTTACTCTTTTCAAATAATATAGTAAGAGATATTTTTGGAACATGTTACAAAGAAAATATAACAACATCCAATTCTTTGTTCTAAAAACAAACATGCATGGTTAATTAATAAAAATGGTTTGAATCATTTACAAAATTCTGAAAATATAACTATTATTTCAAACCTATTTAAATAAAAGATTGAAGTAGATTACACTGTAATGTTTTTGAAAAATTTATTCGTAAAAAAATCAGTGGATCATTTTCTGGAAACATTAATTTTCTTTCACGAATATCACATATCAGACGGATATAAAGATCATATGTCCCTCTCTCCCATTTTATTTTGTAAAACATCAATTTCCATTGAGTATCGCATATGATTTGACGGCATATACATCCTAGGGCCAAACTATAAAGCAATGACTTACATACCTCAAAGATAATGTTTTGTTTAAAGAATGTTTTTAAAAGTGCTAACTTGCTATGATTTCTTGCTTCTTTTTATAAGTAAATATTACATATATTTAAAAAGAAAACGATATTTCTAATTAAATTGAAAAACTTTCATAGGGTAAATTCACCAAATTCAGCATATTTTGCTTTTATTACAAAACTTTACTAAAAACATGTTTATATCGAAGAAAATATTGGGTATTTTAAATAATCAGTGCTTGCTTAGAATTAATACAATATACCTTGGACAAGTCAAAACCTTGAAATTTGCCAAATTGGATGTTTGGATAAAAAAAAGTACGTTCGAAAATCTAAGTATGTCTAAATTTCTGAAACATGTTGCAAAATTTTTTGTCAGAAATGAAACAGTATAATATGTGTTTCCCATTTTTCTTAGCGACCTCTTCGAGCTTAAATGAAACATGTATAACAACCAATTTTTATACGATTAATGGTTAAAGAGGAAATTCAAAGAAATATGAAATAAAATATAAACAAAGTAAATAAAAAATAATAAAATGTTTTTTTCTAAGAATCCGGTTTTTGTGTGACTTTTGTGTATTTATTATTGGAATTAAAAAAAAAATATGCATAGAAATAATCAACAATGATATTTGTAAGTGTTCCATTTATTGACGTTCAAAATTCTGGTTTTAACTTTTCTTGAAAATGCTATGGAAATCTAAATATAAAAAGTAATTAATTAAAGTAAAATTTTAGGATTTTTCTATGTAAAGCTTTTCAGCAATCTTAAGAAAACTTTGCTAAAAGAATTTAAAGTTCTCATTTTTGAACGAAAGATTAATGTAAAAAAATATAATATTATCCTTCAATAATATAAATATGTAATAACTTTTGATTGAGTTTTCCTATTTCTTTAGCAAAAAAAATTAATGCATACAACTGCAAGTAGTATGTATAAATTTTAAGTAGAATGAATGTGCGTTATGGTTGCATAATTATGTACATACGTTATGTAAACACTAGTATATCATAATATTATATTGATAACTTGATATAATGGTTGATATCACTGTGTAATATATTTACATACTGTAGAAATATTTTCGATTTGCCTATCAATTTTATTTATACCTGCTTTAATGTGCAAAACTCTTGTTGGGTAATAGTATGGTAAATTAAGCATCAACTTCAATATTTTATTTTGCTTAACCTGCAATTTATTTTTGTGTGTTGTTGCACAGTCCCCCCAGATCGGCGCAGCATATAGAAGTATGGGCTGAAATATCACTTTCATCATCAAAATTTTGTTAAAATGCGACAGTTCAGAATTTCGGCAAATGAATGGTAATAACATTCTAATATATCTATTGACTTTGTCAATCGTTTTAGACACATGCAAACCAAATGTTATTTTTTATCGAAAACTACTCTTTGATACCTAACATTATCCGTCCAGGCTATAGGTCGAGAGTCAATTATTAAAGATCTATCTGGTAAAAAACAAGGCTTCCTCTTTCTAGTAAAAAATATGAAATTTGTCTTCTCAACGTTTATGCGAATTTTCCATCTATGGAAATATCCGTGAATATTATCGAGTGAATTCTGAAGGTTAATTAAAATGTTTTTGCAATTGCTGTCTGCTGTATAGACAGCCGTGTCATCAGCAAAGATGGACACATGAGGACACGTTTATGTGAATTTTCCATCTATGGAAATATCCGTGAATATTATCGAGTGAATTCTGAAGGTTAATTAAAATGTTTTTGCAATTGCTGTCCGCTGTATAGACAGCCGTGTCATCAGCAAAGATGAACACATGAGAATAAGGAGTAATTGAAATGTCTGAAGTATATATATTGTATAGTATCGGCCCCAGCACCGACCCCTGCGGCACGCCAGCCACAACATCGTAACTACATGAGAAAATATCACCTACAAAAACTTTAAAACTCCGACTCTCTAAGAAACTTCTAATGATTTTTGTCAAATACATTGGAAAATTGAAATCCACCAGCTTGTGTAGAAATGCCGCGTGCCACACAGTGTCGAAAGCTGCACTGATGTCCAAGGTTACCAATCCAACAGATTTCCGTTCTTCTAATTTTAACTTAATATATTTTTTAACCCTCATGAGTGCATGTAATGTACTACGGCCCCCCTAAAGCCAAATTGTTCATTGGGTAAAATGTTATTATCAGAAATAACAGTTTCTAACCTAAATTTAAAATTGTTAAGTAAGCTTATTGGTCGATAAGTGGCAATATCGTCATTAGATTTATTTGGCTTCGCAATAGCTATAATTTTGGCTTCCTTCCATGCCGCCGGGAAGTAACCTAAACGGAGACATGAATTTAATATCTCAGTGAATCGTATATTTGCGGCCCCTGGTAATTTTTTTATAAATAAATTAGAAATTCCATCAATTCCCGGAGATTTTTTTATTTTAAGTTGAGATATAATATCGTTAACTGTGTCATAAGAAATGCTAGAAAAATTTTCAATGCTTGAATTCTCAATTGTAGTCATAGAACTTTCAACCACCATCTTGGTAGCCGCATCGCTCAGATGTTCGTTGATTGAACGCTTCTCACAAAAGTATTGTGCCAGGGCGTTTGCCTTTTCACTATTTGTAGTATGGAAAGTGTCATTGTATCTTATGGCAGGGATAAATTTATTCTTACCTTTAATTATTTTGGTCAATTTCCAAAAAGGCCTAGATGCTTTTTTCAATAACCCCAGAGTAGAAGTTCAATGACCATTGTATATTCCGAAATTTAACTATTTCAACCCTAATTAAATTATTAAAATAATTCAATTGCACTGAGTGCAAAAACGCCCTAGTTCTATCAAATTTTCTCCTGATAATATTTCTTGTTTTTATAATTTTAATTATATAAGATGGCAAACTCGTATTGCCTAATTTAATTGGTTTTCTAGGAACAGAAAGCTCGACAGCTGCCAACACTTGCGAATTAAGATAAGATACTGCATTGTCTATTTGATAACTGTGATCGAGAGAATGATCCAAATCCAAATTGGTAAAAGTATCCTTAAGATACTCCCGATATTTTACCCAGTCCGCATTCACAAAATCCAAATAAGTGCGTTCATATAAATTTGCGCCATCCCTAATTTGCAATTGCACAGGTAAATGAGCAGACGAGAGGTTGTTTACCACAACAGATTGAGTAAACCATTCCGGTGAATTCGTTAAAAAGAAATCAAGAGTGGAAGGTTTAATCGAATTATTAGTTGGAGAAGTTCGTTAGGAAAAAGTATAGTAAATTTGTTCATTCTTATAAGATCTTGCAATGAGTTACCCCAGGAATAAGCACGAACACATCCCCAGGCCCTATGTCTTGAATTTATGTCACCCCTATAAGAAAACTACCTATATTCTATTTACATATGTACACATGTGCATATACCAATCATTTATTATATACATAAGTATGTAAATAGACAACATAAATATGTATGCGAATGTATGATCATATATTTAAAATCAGCAGGTGG